GTTATTAAAAAGAGACGTACCGTATCATTATCTTCATACTGCGAATTGATATCATCATCACTTTCAGTTGCCTTGTTGCTCGACTCATCTTGGGTAATACATTATAACTGTTTTTTTAGGTTAATTCATGTTTCTTAAGAGAATAATCATCAAAGATACACGCAACAAGACCAAGTTGCCTGATGCTACTTCATGTAAAGGAACTTAAAATTTCATATTCTCTAATTATAAGTAATTAAAATCCCTAAGCAATATTTTGTCAAATCAAGACATAACAGCAGAATAATTACTTCCACAGCTTGAAATAACTTTAACAAAAAAAAGGAACATTTGAAATTGAGGGAAGTTGGGCCTTCATATCATCAAATTATCAAGTTGGGCCAAAAATTTTGGACTACATTAGGTGCCCCATTACCTAGCATGTGAGGACTGTTGTTCAATGAACATCTAACATCTCGAAAAAGTCCACAACATAGATAGAAGCACCAAAACAAGAGAATACATTTAAAGAATAAATAAATTAAAAATATATATGTGCCAAAATATACATTATTAAACATGTAGTATATATTTTTCTAATCAACAAATGTAGACAAACTTATAGTTATATAACCAATGATCTAACTGAAACTCGATGGGAGGTTTTCATATCACTATTGGTAACACAAAACTCCTCGAGCGGCTGGAACTTGAATAATCGCCTTCCTTCTCGCCGGTTTGAACGTCGTGTACCTACAAAGAACTCTCACACCGGAGGGGTTTTCCGGTGAAGAGCCTCCGATGCTTAAGTCAGTGTATATTCAATCAGTTCTCAAGAGTAACAGAATGATCGTGTTGAGGAAGAAAGGCTCACCCCCTTTATATAGGAGTGAGATACCTGACCTAGGGCTTCCCGGATTTGATGAGCTGTCTGCCCTAACTGCCCGTCCGTACATACCAAACGCGTGTGTCAGGGGTAGCCGCCTCCACTATCTTTTGCACCAATCCTCTTTGGACGTGTGTCCTCCCGCACATGGGGTATGTTGTCAGAGGTGGTTATCGCCATCCACCACTGCCTTCTCGAC